GCTGTAAAACATACACATGCCATGGTAAGGATGGGCATGACTCTATATCAAGATGCTGCCCGTGGTTCTCTCTGAGTAGAACTGTGGTGCTTTTCCTGCTCTTTCTGCCTGTCTGCTTTTTCTATAACCGTCAGGGGTGGTTTACTATTAAGACAGTAGTAACAAAAAAAAAAAAAAGACAGTAGTAACAAAAGCAATAACAAGAGCAAAAGAAAGTTTGTGTTAGAGGAGAAAAACAGAATAGAATTCAGAAGTAGAGCTGCGGGTCGTGGACAAGTACAGGCAGAAGCCAGCTAGCCAGAGACCAGAAAGGGCGTGGGAAGCGGGACATACCTGCCTGAGCAACTGGATAAAGAGAAACCAAAATCAGAAGCTCTGGAAATGGCTCTCGCCAGAAGTAGCAGCAGGAGTGGTGACCCGAGGAGCCTCATCTGTCCACCAGGACCCAGATGGGAGGCCCTCTTACTGCGGATCATGAGACCGGCAGGGAGCCCTGGGGACACAGCCCCTGGGGACACCTACTTCTGCAGGCAGCTCTCCTCCCTGTCTTCCCATCCCCCAAGCCGTCCTGGAAACACAGCATGATGGATGTACTACCCCCATCACAGAGAGGAAGCTGTGCTCCAAGTGTTGGCTGGTCTGATCCCTAGTTCTGAAGTGGAAGGTCTCCCTGTAGTTTCTTGGTTTAAAACACCTCCTAATGCGAGGCATAGGGCAGGGAAGCCTGTGACCACAAGGGCTGACACTGCCTGCCCCTTGTATGTGATCCTCGTCAGTGCCCACATCCCCACACTTATAATGGGACTGAGACAAGCCATCAGCTCTGTCTCAAGAGGCAGTGATGGCAGAGAATGCCAGGTTCCATCTAAAGTCAGGAGGTACAAGACCAAAAAAAACGAAGCAGACTCACATCCGTGGGTAGGCATGAGGCATTAAGTGTGGATAATCATTTTATATATCCTTCTCTAAACACTTCACAATTTCACCTTCACCCTGCTTCTCCTAAAATCTTCCCATCCAGGTCTTACCAACCTCTGCATTACCATGACTTCTCCAATGTGCACAGCTGAGGGCTACAGAGAAAGCTACGAGCAGGAGATAGTCACGGGCTCCATAGAGGGCCTACACCAAAGGGAGGAGACTCTCAATCTGAAGTCACGCTAGCCATGCCAGGGACAGTAGGAGGACTCGCATGTGCCATGAGAGGGTAGCCTGCCAACAGGGAGCAGAAGACATCTACATCTCACCTCCCCACCCAAAGATGACTAAACCCCCCAAGTCTAGCAGAGAAGTTGGTCATCTGTCTACATGGTCTGGCTGCTGGGATTTGGTGACTACATGGTATGGTCCTCCAGGCTCACACTTCCAATGAAAAATGTCAACTCTAGTCACCAACACTCACTGGTTACCAATCCACAGGGCTACCTTGTGTCCAAATGGAGCCTGGAAGCCAAAGAATGTAGTAGATATAAACACTGGCTCAGGAGTCAATGCTATCTGGGTTTGAACCCTGCCTCTGTCGCAACCGGCTGTGTGACCCCAACCAATTACTACACTTCTCTGTGCCTTAGTTTCTTTAGCTGCTGCATGCATTAAATGAGATAATGTGTCTAAAATACTTAGCAGGGGGTGACCCATAGTGACAGCTCAGTAAATGCCAACTAAAAATAATTTATCAGGGTATCTGCATACGCATCTGTGTGCACACACACCCACAACGCTGACAGCACCCAATCCCCGTGACAGCATCAGGACCAGGGAGTACCAAACCCACAATGTGTTCTAACTGCATACTCCCCATTCTCCCAATGGTGTCTGTCACCATTAGACAGTGAAAGGGCCAAAGGAAGAAAACACAGATTGTGGAAAGTATGGGAAAGCCAGGCTAGAAGAAGCAGGGAGCCTTGTCAAAGCTGGGGTTTCAGGACAGAGCCCAAACCTCAGAAAACTGCATCAGCCAACTGCAAAACACAAAACCCTACGTGCATGTACACGTTATGCAGAGGAAGAAGGCCGGGGGCGGGACAGGGAAGAGAGAAAGAGAATTCCTGGCATCTAAGTACTCTCCCTTTGCCCCCGCACCAGCAGATGCTCACAAGCTGACCCGGGCCTTGGCCAAGCTCTTGGCTCCTGCTAAAGCAAAGCCTGCGCACGTCCCTCAAGAAAGTGACCTCTTCAAGGGCTGGGCTGGGGAGCCCTGTCCAGGGAGAGAAAGGGCTCCTTGAGAAAAAAGTAGAAAGAAAATGAGGGAGAGGAATGAAAAAGAAGGCAGGGAAGGGACAGCAGAGAAACAAGAGAGTCAAGGGTCAGAGTCAGGAAGAGTCATCAGAATTCAGAATTGGGCCAACTGGGGAACGTCCTTCACAAAAATCATCATCTTCACAACTAGCCCCATTTGGGTCCGAAACAGACATCAGGGAGAAATGAGAATCTATGCAGGCTCCTGGGGTCTGGGGGTTGATAAAGGAATGCAAGGATTCTAAGAAACAGAGCACATGCTCAGTGTCTTGTAGACTAAGGGGATAACAGCACAGGAAGCTGGCAGGTAGACAGCCAGCAGGCCCTCAGCTCATTTCCAGTCATGGGCTGGACAGGAGACACAGAACAGAAGATCGACAGTATTTGTTTGGGCAGGGGGAAGAATGAGATGCCTTACTGCAAGGGAAGGAGGGGGCCTTGCCTGAATCTATTGTTTAAAAGAACTAGACCCATTACCTGGGCCACTCATGATCTTTCTTTGTCATCAAGTTGAAATAAATATCAATGAAGATTTCTGGGGGGCCTGGGTGGCTCAGTTGGTTAAGTATCAGACTCTTGGTTTTGGCTCAGGGTTGTGGAATCAAGACCTGCATCGGGCTCTGCACTCTGTATGGAGTCTGCTGGAGATTCTCTCCCTCCCCCTCTTCCTCTGCTCCTCCCCCTGCTTGTGCTCTCTCTAAAATAAATAAATAAAGTCTTTAAAAAAATGAAGATTTCTTTCCAGCTAAACATGGTGGACCGAACATTCACATCCATCTCTATACTCCCTCCCAAAACCCCATTAAAAACAAGAGGATGACATCAGGGAAATATAAATCAAAACCACAATGAGATACCACCTTACACCAGTTAGAATGGCTAAAATTAACAAGACAGGGAACAACAAATGTTGGTGAGGATGTGGAGAAAGGGAACCATCTGACACTGTTGGTGGGAATGCAAGCTGGTGCAGCCACTCTGGAAAACAGTATGGAGGTTCCTCAGGAAGTTAAAAATAGAACTACCCTACAACCCAGCAATTGCACTACTGGGTACTTACCCCAAAGATACAGATGTAGTGAAAAGAAGGGGCACATGCACCCCAATGTTCATAGCAGCAATGTCCACAATAGCCAAACTGTGGAAGGAGCCGAGATGTCCTTTAACAGATGAATGGATAGAGAAGATGTGGTTCATATATACAATGGAATATTACTCAGCCATCAGAAAGGATGAATACCTACCATTTACATCGACATGGAAGGAACTGGAGGGTATTATGCTAAGTGAAATAAGTCAGAGAAAGACAATTATCAGATGTTTTCACTCATATGTGGAACATAAGGAATAGTGCAGAGGACCATAGGGGAAGGGAGGGAAAACTGAATGGGAAAAAATCAGAGAGGGAGCCAAACCATGAGAGACTTTGGACTCTGAGAAACAAACTGAGGGTTGTGGAAAGGGAGGTGGGGGTGGATGGGGGCAACTGGGTGATGGGCACTAAGGAGGGCATGAGATGTGATGAGCACTGGGTGTTATATACAACTAATGAATCACTGACCACTACACCAAAAACTAATGATGTACTATATGTTGGTTAATTGAATTTAAATTAAAAAAAATAAGAGGATGACAAGCTTTAGCAGAGAAACAAACTGGAATCAGCACATTATCTGATGAACAGTTACTGTTCAATTCTTACAAAAATCTGCTGTATAAGAATTAGTGGTAGGAACACTCACTATAAAAAAGAAAAGGGCAATTTCTTTTTCATGAGAGCAGAGACTTCAATTGTTTAGTTTTTCATGATTTCTCCAGCACCTAAAAAGCGTCTAGCAGTAGGCATTCAAGCCACTGTTGAATAAACGCACTCCCCAACAAAGGAGCACAATGTGATCCAATAGTCTATGCCTAGTACCGATTCTGCTACCCTTCATTCCCTATTAACCAGCACTCTTTAGATGTTTTCTAATGTCTGCGAGATTATAAGTTGAATAAAATTGCGGCCTAAAAAAGACAATTATTAACTGCCTTTCTGATTAAAAAAAAAAATTCTGATTTTAAAAAAACTAATTATAATCTATTACTCTGCTCAGTTGTAGAAATGGCATTAGGAGAATACAATGGGGAAGAGCGTAGAGCGTGTATCCATGAGGGAAAGTCCGTGAAAGCTCAATCTTGTACTTCTGTCAAAAGTCAACAGCTCTGTCTCAAACTAGTAAGTCCGAAATAGTGATACAAACATTTTATTTAGATAAATGGAGGTAAAAAGTAGATGAAGCAGCTTTCCGTGGAGTCAGAACCCACACTTTAATTCTCTCAGAACTGGAGATGAGTGAGTGGCCCTACAGAAGAAGACCTGCTGGGGAAAGGCAGAACAGGGCCTCTGGCTCACCTTTAGAAGACATGCAGTAGTATTTGACTTCTAAAATCATACCCATAGAACACTTCAATCAAGAACGAAATTTTCTTAAACAACAACAAAGATTATTTCAAGACCTCGCTCAAATGACTCCTCCCTCCACAAAGTCTTCTCAGATCTCCTGTGAAAACGACTGTCGGTACCAAACGTCTGGCAATTAATCCTATTCCACTTGGTGATGAGCGCAACTCTTCTATCTTCTATCTTTCCACATGTCTTGAGTCCCTAAGTTACAATTGCTTCATGGGAAAGTGCGCTTCTCACAACTGAGGAGTCCACCGCAGACCAAGTGATTAAATCCACAAGCTCGGGAGAGGGGCGGCACCCGGCTCCCCGTTACCTGCATAAGCGTTGGCCTGCTGCAGAAGGTCGGTGCAGGTGTGCACGTCTGCAAACGCTCGGATGCCCAAGCAGTTGGTGGGATGCAACTGAGATTGCAGGAAGTCACAGCAGTTCTGCCGAACGTCCATGAGCTGCAGCAAGCTGGCCGCTGGAAGCAGCACCTGCAGGAGAAGGTGACATGCTGAGACACCAGATCCCCTCCAGCAGGCCCTCATCGCCCTAAAGCACTGGTCCAGTCAGAGCACTCCCTCCCTCAAGGTCCTTGCGTGGCCCTCCCCTGCCTGTCCAACTAAGTCCAAACTTCTTTCAGGGCAGCCGAGCCTTATTTCCCACGACTCTCCACTTCGCAGCCCTAAGCACCAGCAGAGTCTCTGTATCCCTACATTCCATAGCAGTGCCTCCCAATCACTCATGTATATATGAAATCTCTGGGCATCTTATTAAAATTCTGATTCAAGAGGTCTGGAGTAGGGCCTGGGGACCTGCATTTCTAACGAAAAGCCAGGTGATGCTTGTGGCTACTGGCTCAAGAACCAAACTTTGAGTAACAAGCCCCTTATGGACTGAATGTTTGTGCCCTCCTCCCCTAAATGTGTATGTTGAAACCCTAACCCCAACATGACTGTATCTGGTGACAGGACCTATGAAGAGGTGATAAAGTTTAAATGAGATCATAAAGGTGGGGCCCTTACAAGAAGAGAAAGAGACACCAGAGCTCTTGCTCCCTCTACAATGTAAGGACACAGGGAGACAGCAACCTTCTGAAAGCCAGGAAGAGTCTCACCAGCAACTGAATCAACTAGAACTTGGACATCAAATTTTCAAAACCAGGAGAAAAACAAATTTCTGTTGTTTAATCCACCCATTCTATAGTCTTCTGTTATGGCAGCCCAAGCCGACCAAGATAGATTGGTTCTCCTACTTGGCTACACAATGAATCACCTGGAGAATTTTTAAAATACTGATGCCTGGGTCTCAGCCCCAAAGATTTTAACTTCAGAGGTATGAGGTATGGCCTGGACAGTGAGACACTGCCAAAGCTCCCCAGGTGTTTTTAATGTACAGCCAAGTTTGAGAAAGCACTTCCCTACAGCCTTTAGCGTACCATTTTCACTTAGGTGCTTACTAAATTGTTCACTACTGCCTTCACCACTTAATTACTAAGCATCTGTATATGCCAGGTACTGGTCTAGGCTCTGGGGTTTAGTGGTAAGCGCAGTAAGCCAGACCCCGGCTCTTATGGAACTTACAATCTACTGGAACAAAAAAGTGACCCTCAAATCCCTCAAGACTCAGACAATCACACTGTATTCTCCCATCCAACAGATAAATGGCAAAGAACATCCCTGGGTACATCCTCAGAGAAAGACAAAGGAGAGCATAGTTTCCTTTTAAAAGGTCATAGAACACATGGATGTTTACACTGTATCTTGGAAAACAGAAATAGTTCCTGCTTAGGTGTTTTTCCTAAAAGCCGGGAAGACTGGCTTGAGCAGGCCAGAGGGGTGCTCAGACCGCCAACCCCACTCTAGTTTCCCGAGGACTTTCCCACAGCTGCCAAAGCCCCCTGGATCAAAAATCCAGAAGAAATGGCACAGTCCTACTAGACCCCAGCTCTGCTCCCTACCACCCCCACCCTAGGGAAGGGGTATACAGTCTGAGAGTGACTTTCCAAAAAGAAATTAAAAAAAAAAAAAAATCACAGAGCATTATATTTTCTTTGAGGCTGCTGAGCTCAGGGCTCCCAGCATCCATTTCACCCCAAAACAACCCCCACATCCCAGGCCTTTGCTCTCAGCTGCTCCCCTGGCTTTCAGAGAGAGCATCTGGACCAGCTAGACTCCTGCTGTTCTCATCCACAAGGGCTTGCCCAGGAAGACATGGGCTACAGATGCATTTGTTTTCTTGATTCAGGGCACTACAAAAGTCTTTTTTTTTTTTTTTTTAAGCAATTTAAATTCTAGACCCTGACTTTCTCCCAAAACATATCTGAATGCCTCCATGCAATAAGGCCAAAAACCCTGCTCCACTGTCCATTCTTGGGCCTTGTCCCTCCACTATGGTAAGCAGCTAAGTTTTCTTAGGACCGAGGACACAGGACTTTCAGTGCTAAAACCTGGCAGCTGGTCACCCTTCCTCATCCCTGCCCACCTGCAGAAACCACCAAGAGCCTCCACCACCCGTGGTCCTACTCCCGAACTAAGCACCTACTCTCCACAAGGCAAGTTTTTCCTTCCTATGCGCTTAACTTCCTCCCTCACGCAGCTGAGTTCCAGGAAGTTAAAGAAAGTATGCTCCTCTCCTTTCTCTCTTCCACTCTCCTATGTCCCCAACAGTAAATTAACATCATGTCCTTAGTATTTTTTGAGCCACTGGTTCATCCCAGAAACGGAGAAAGATAAAAGCACGCACTCTTGGGAGTTTTAGACCATAAGGTAGCTCCAAATCTGACCACCTGAGCTCCATCGTCACTAAGCAGCTATAAACTGGGAACCTCAATTAACCTGTGAGCTTGCTCAGCCTAGCCAAACAGATTCTAGGACCAGATTAGTCTCGGCCTGCTAGTTAAGTAGACAACCATTAACCATTCTTGCTGAATACATAGCAGGAATGGAAAGCTGTGTTTCAAATCCCCAAATGACCTCTATGATACCCCTTGGACCAGCACTAGCTACAAACTCTACAGCTGGGCCCACCGGTTGACCGATCATCCCGGTCTGCTGAAACTTTGCCAGTTTCAGCACTGAAAGTCCTCTGTCCCAGGAGACCCCTCAGTCCTTGGCAAACTGGGGTGGTTGTTCACACTCGGGGCCAGGAACGTCTAACCAGTTACCCTAAGAACCCCTGGTGGAGAGGAATGATCAAATGTTGTCCAGCACACACTCTACTCCGTGGTGGGACAAGCCCCAAAAGGGTCAGGCTGGCAGCCCTTTGAGCCTCACAGAGGAGGATTTCTGAGAGTCCAGTCTGCCCCCAGATTGCATTCCCAGCCAAGCCAAGATGACAGCATGCCAGGGACACAAGGCCCCTTCCCCCTTGCCTTCTTTTTCCCCACAAAGACAGCAGCACGGGCTGGTGCTTAAATTCTCAAGCTCGTGACAATCGGCCAAAGAAATTAAATAATAAATACTTCCTGAACATATTCCTCAGGTTATACTTTCAGTTTTTAAAACCTCCCTGGATAGAGCTACCCGCATAGCTTTTCCCTACTGTTCACAAAACACACTTAGCAGGCAAAAATTATAAAAGTTTTCCACCTTTCCACACACCCCCCCCAATCCTGTTTAGGTCCACTCCTGCCCAAAAGCATTCCCAAGATGACTTCCTCAAGTGAACGGGGGCTTGTGGTTTCTCTAATTGCTCCTTCCCTCTCTTTGATCTTACACTGTGATTAGCTATGACTCAAAGGGCCTTTTCTTCCCACTACTTGCTTCATACAGGAAGGCGTGAAGAAAAGTAAAGTAAGTCAGAAAGCTGAGGGCACGGTTTGGAGGCTGGGAGATTTATCACTGCTCCCACTCTGTGTCTCAGGGATAAATGGGGGCCCCATCCGCTGGGGTTCTGGGGGCTGCACACCATGCGAACAGACACAAATCCCCAGAGGCTGTGAAAGAAAAGAGAGCAAAACATCCATAAGGTGGCTGTCCTCGCTTCCCTCTCCCACATCAACAAGGGCTTTCGGAGGATTTCCTCTTCTCTTATCTCACGTGCAACTTGACTCCCTTGAGGGGCAGCAGTAACTGGCTGTGAGCAAGAGGCCAAGCTCAGGTCCTCAGCTTGGTGGAATCACTGGGGCAGTCCCGCTTGGTGCCTGGAAGGAGGGGGCCAACACTGGAGGAGCTGCTGGTTGGAACCACCATGGGGATGCAAGAAGAGTCGAGCTCAAAAAGCTTTCAGCTTGCCTCTTGCCACCCCAGCATTTCAGTTCTGGGAAGACAGACTCTAGAATGACCCTCAGCAGAGAGTTTACAGGTTTCCCTCCAGCTTGCAAATGGCCTCCCCTCCATTTTCCACGAGCAGGCCCCGTTTTGTTTTTTTTCTCTCCCTCGGATAACATGAAAACACAGCAGAGGATATCCCGTCACTGAGTTTGTTTCCTCTAACAAAAACAAAAGGAAATGCCCTGCCTCAGAAAGCACCGACTCCTGGAATTTCAGGGAGGCAGAGCCATGCCTAGAGGGAGGGAGACCACCAACCAGAGGGCCAGGTGACAGGCCGAAGGCCCCAGCCACACAGTGGGTCTGTCTCTGCCAACACCAGGCATGAGGCCTGGCACAAAAACATTGTTAAATAAAAATATGTTGAAAAAAAAAGAAAAAGAAAGTGGGGGAGGGAAGAGAGAGAGAGATTGAGAGAGAGAAGGAGGGAGGGAAGAAAGGAGGGAGAGGGAAAGCGGTCAGAGATGAGCAGGAGAGCTAACAAACTAGCACTGCTGTGATTAAAAGTGTCCCTTAGAATCTGACTTCTCCACTTACGGGCCATGTGACTAAAGGCAAATTACTTAACCTCTCTGTGCTCTGCCACCTGGACAATAAAATAAAGACCATAATGGTACTGCCTTCAAGGCTTGTTGCAAGAATCAAATGAGATAATACATTTAAAGCAGGCAACAAAGCACCTGGTACACAGGGAGGGCTCAGTTAAATTAGGTTTTATTATTATTGGTTATCATGAGCTGGAGTCAAGATTCTGATCCTTGATTTAACAAGAAACTCAAGTTCACCACGTCAACAGAGCACAGTGAGGTGGAGAGAGCAGGATTCAAACCCCAAAGCTACTACCTATTTAACCACTGGGGAGCATTAGCTTCTTCAACTGTAAAAGAAGGACCATATTAGAATACTTGTTTGGGGGCGCCTGGGTGGCTCAGTTGGTTGGGCGACTGCCTTCGGCTCAGGTCATGATCCTGGAGTCCCTGGATCGAGTCCCGCATCGGGCTCC